ATTAGACAATTTTTTTGTTATTTGTAGAGATTACTTATATCAATATAATACAATCTTCTACTCAACAAATACCTTTGTTTGCTCATTATAATTATCATTTATAATAGGATACTTTTGACTTCTCAAAAATTGATAATCTTATGTCAAATCATTTGAAAAAATATTTATTAGAGCTATATACAATATTATAAGTATAATTAATAGAAGATCAGAACAACTTAAATTTAATATTAATGACTATCACAAAAAAATAACTTCAATTTTATATTAATAACCAGATATGATTACTTTGTTGTAATATGAAGATTAATGGTTTTTATAATAACTCAATAAAAAATAATTCAATATCTAATAATTCAATAAACAATAATTTATTGAATTATTAAAAGATTAATGGTTTATTGAATTATTAGAAGATTAATGGTTTTTATATTAACAATCTCAATGCTTTATCTTAAAGATTGTTACAACCTTTAAGATAATATAATAGAAACAAAGATCCTTAAAAATGATATGTTTATTTCAAATAGATGGTGAAACATAACGTGTTTGATATAATAACCTTAAAAGAGATGTTAGATCTTTGGTGATGATATTAGAGGTAGAAACTATCTCTAATGATATTCAAACATTTTATTTCAAGAAAGTTACAAAGATTTAAACAATGATCAAATAATAAAGTGGTCTTTTTATACTAGTATGGGACATTTGAAATAGTTAAACAAACTTATCAACTACCTTCAAAGATAACAAAGATCAAAATATGTAGCAAATATAATTTTTTTCATTTTGAACTTCCTCGATATATAATTATCACTTCTTGTGGAATTTGTCTATAGAAAAGGAGATAATACCAAAAAAATATTCATTTATTTAGATTAAAGGAATTAAATAAAATAACAAAAAATAAATAGATTTAATAATATCTTATAGAAAAGTTTCTTAGAAGCTATATAGATACAAATTTGACTTAATACATGTTCATAGGTATTTGATAGGTTAAAAACTTACCCAACAAGTTGGCTATGTGTAGCACATGTTGGTGACTTATGATTCAAGTTGGCCACATGGTGTAAATGTAAGAAAGTTATCTTGTAAATTTAACACATGTCTCATAAGTTGGACGCATTTTGGAGGTTTCATAGAAAGTTGTGACATAGTTTTTTGTTAGATAGTTATGAGTCTCATAAATGCATCATAATTAATGAATTGATTTGAAATATAGTTTTAAATTATTTTATTATACAAATATTAAGATTATAGAATATTTTTGATTATTTAAGTATTTATTAAAATTTAAAATTATTTATAAGATATAAAAACTTTATTAGAAGAAAAGCTATAAAAAAAAAATCTTAAAAAGTTTTGAAGGTAATTATCTTAGTTGATTTAATATTTTTACTTATTATTAAGTATTAAGGATTAGTTATTGAAATCTAAATCTTTATTGGCCTCCTATCTACATACATTATTTATAAAATTCCTATCAATGATTAGTTAATGATTAGAAGAAGTATGAAAAAAAAACTTCAGTTCTTTTGAATTAATTATATAAAAAATATAATTTTTAGTAGATTTAAATTTATTTTATGATTATAAAAATAATCAAGATAGAAAAATATATATTTTAATGGATATTATTATTATTATTAAAAAATTACGAGATTTTTTGGGATTTATTTAGAATTTATTTATAATTATTTATGAATTTTCAGAGAAGATTTCAAGACTTTGGTAAAATTGAGTTTTACCATCATAGGAGCCATTATAAAAAAATAGAATAAGATTTGAAGACCATACAAAGTTTGTAGGCTATTTTAATATTTTTAAATACTTTGATTAAGTCAAAAATATAAAATTATGAGTTTCACTAATAAGAAATAGGGGGACCAACAATTAATCTAGTCCTTATAAAAAAGAAGGTGCACAAGTTCCATGTGGATTGTAGCACCTTGAGTAGAGTTAGGAGGATAAGACTAAGGCCTTGTGGCCTCTCTTAACAACCCATATATACTATATGTGAGTCTTGGTGAAGCTCAAACCTTTGATCTATAAGCAAGTTGTCCTTAAAGAAAATTATTTTCACTTAATTTTTTTATTATTCATTTTCTATCTTTAAACTTTCATAACTTATTTATAATAATTTAGATTTTTATGTTTCTTATGTCATTATAAAGATAATAAAATTATCTATCTAAAAATATATTTTTTAATATTTATTTTTACTTTTATTAGGTTAAAAATCAGTAAATAAACTATGGACTACTTTTATTATATGCAATTATTTGATTGCACTTGTTTCACTTATTTTGTGTTGTTTTTTCTTTTTTTCCTATTTATTTCATCTTCTATTTTATACTACCAATTATAAGAAACTCTTAATTGAGGCCATCTTGTAATTTAGATTGAAGAAGAAATTTATCCTCACAACAATATATACAAAGGCAAAAGTGAAGCTTTTTTTATACTTATTAACACCTTTCTTATCTTTAATCTTGTTCCAAGAGTCTTTATTCTTCTTATCTTTTGAAATATTTATTCTAATTTAATTTTGTACCATCAATTGAGTAATTATCTACTCTTTTGTAGTGAATAAGAGTATATTAATCTTTTGGTTTTTTGTAATTTATGTCTTTAATACTAGAAAATTTATTAATTTTATATAATTTTTAGTACCTTAAAAGTAAATATATTAGTTTTATAAAAATTTTAGCACCTTTGAAGAAAATATATAAGTTATCAAAAAGCAGATGTATTGATTTTATATTGGTTGTACACCTTGGAAGTAGATAGGAAAATAAGTCTATGATCTTAAGGCCTTTTTAAGATACCTCATATACCAATTATGCATCTTGATGTGAGGCTTAATTCTTTTATTATATAATTAAGTTATTTTTTAAATAAATTCTAATTTTATGATTTCTATTTTTATATTTTTTAATTTTTAATTTATTATAACTCCTTCATAATATTTTTTAATATTTTTTAAATAATACTATAATTTTATATAATTTTTAAATTTTTATTTTAGTTAAAATTCTATTTAAAAAATACATCTTATTTTGAATATTTATTCTTATATCTTATCTTCAATGGTAAAGAAAAAATAATTAATATATTATATATAATAGAGAAATACATAAGGCATATTTAGATTAAGGTAGTTATATTTTTAGTCTTAATGATATTATTTTAGATATTTTTGGATATAAAATTAATATTAAATTATAAGTATATTTATTATAATTATTTTTTAATATATAATGATGTAGATGATTTATTCATGTATATTTAATTTATTTTCTATATGTATTTTATATATTCATATATATAATATAACTTTTAAACCTAACATAATATAATTTATCACAACTTAATATTACCAAAATAATTTTTTCTTATATTCTTACCACACACAGACACACACACACACACACACACACACATATATATATATATATATATATATATATATATATATTATTCTTTAAGCATACTTAATGATTAATTGATTTTTTATTGATTTTAGCTTAAATATTGGTTATATATTTTTTTTTAAATTACGGACTTTAAATTCTTTGTTTTCTATTTTGATTTGATTTAGCTTCTAGTTTTTTCTTATATTGATTACACTTTCAATAATTTTGTGTGTAATTATAAACAATCTAATTAATTACAGAATTATATTATCAAATGTTAATTTAATTTTTTCTCAAATATTTTAATATTTCTCCTATCCATTACTACTTTAGATTATCCTATATTTATTATAAAAGAAGTTTTAACTCTACATCCCCAATTGGTATTGCTATACCCTACATAACCTCTATATAACTTCAATTGACTAAAAAGCATGCTTTTATGCTTATGGCATATTTGGCAATTTAACATTTAATTTTGACATTGATCCAAAAATCTAATAAATATAATAAATAATTTTTTTGTATTTTTGGAAAAAAAAATAAAAATTAAACTAAACTACATCAATTTTTTTAGGCAAATATTTTATTTTTATTTTAAAAATAGTTCGGAACTTATTTTATTCATAAAATATTCACTGTCTCTCTCTCAACAACTACTATTTTTTGAATCAAAGAAGAAAAAAATAAATAAAAAAATAAACAAGCATATTGTTATTTAGTTGTTTATAAGGAAGTCATGTGGAGTGTAGCAATATTAATTAGAAATGTAGTAATGTAGTGTTAATAATTTTCTTTTTATATGTTTTTGTTTTTACATGTTTGTTATACACTTCTTTATGTGTCTCTTTGCACCCCAATTCACTATTAAGCTTTCTTTGGTCCTTCTCTTTCACTGACCACATTACTCAAAAAAAAATTGTTTGTAAACTTCTCCATAACTATGATCCAAGAGATAAATTGCTCTTCTTTGTACTTCCCTTTACATTTCTTTCTACTTCCATTTGCACACCATTTTCTTAACTTATCTTCACTTATTTTATTTTACTTCACTTATCTTATTTTATATTGATTATTGGTCTTTTTCTTTCTTTCTTTTTCTAATCGCATGTATTTATTTAAACAACTTTTTTATTAGTGTAATATGATTGCAAACATAAGTAGAAGAATGTGATATACGACAATGACGTGAGTTCCACATGTGTTGATTAGGTTGAAACGGGTTGTAATAGAGTTCAGCATCGAAACCCCAAGTGAAGCTGAAGAGTTGCAACAGCGTTTGTCAGTTGAAACCTTGAGCAGTTGAAGCGTGTCAAATTTCACATCCTGCAGAGTATGATGGATTACGAACCCACAGAGCTTGAAATTGAATTACTGAACGGACAACAGAGTGCAGTGCTATTGTTCAGCAATCGAGGAATCCAGACTCTAGTGCAAATTTGGGCGGAGGGCGAATTTGCGTGCCAGATATTAAAAATTATTTTTTTAGCTAAATAGCAGACCAGAGACCTACCTCAGCTTATGTTGCCTTTTTCCCTGATTTAAACGATGCAATTTGAAAGGTGTGATTCTGAACAAGGATGCGTAAAGTCCACTTCATAATACTTTCATTGAAAAATCTTTCACGTGAAATCCATATCTTTACATTGAATCATATACTTCTGTGTTTGTAAGATCTGTGCTGAAAAGTGATACTGAACTCGACTTTTGTAGGTAATGCTCAGACATATTGATAATTTTGAAATTTGTGCAACAAAACTACTTGCGGAACACCCTACACTAGTCCAAATCAAGTCCACCAAGCATTTGTAAGCTCAGTGTATCTCTAGTTTTTAGTGTCTCACGTTCGGAGCATGTCGAAAGAAGGAACTTTAAGAATCTGTAACCGATCTGATAGACCTCTAACTTGATAGCATGGCCGCGACCTACGCCTGAGTTTGTCACGAAACTTGAAACACGGAGACAGAGTTTGGCACGAAATCTGCATTCATCTGGAGGACCAGTACCGGTAGCTAGGAGGGACAAGTACCATGTTCTAGGTTCACTCGGACAAGGCCCAACACTCGAACTTGACAGCATTAAAGCTCAATCAACTCCAAAAATGCAAGAACATTGTCCCCCTGCATCAGCCATTGATCACAACAACCGAGATAAGCGACTAACAATTGCGGTTGGTTGACAGTAGCTCTTATAGAAAGAATGTCGAATTAGGATTTTTGCTGCAAACTGCAGCCGAGGCATAAAATACTTCCACGAAATAGAGACAGTGATAGAGATATTCACGAGTCAACAAGAGGAAAAGACTGAGTGGATTACACGGCATCACAACGAATTGCAGAAGCTTGGATATCCATGGACACATCCAGCGACACATCCAGCAGCAGCAGTGCCCTCAACATTCTTCTTCCTGTTTCTTTCTACTAAATGCGTTCTCAAGCCGGATGGATGCCCTCATTTATGCACATAAATCCATGTGGGTGTTTTCAAGGTGGAAGAGAAGCGTTTGCTACTTGTTTTGAATCCTAATAGCACGATTGTCAGTTTTTGTGATTCCAAACTATCAAAATAATAAACAAAAGTGGCAATGCAGGATCGATTTGTCAGAAGAAGATTCTGTCAAACAAAAAAACAAAAATAACTCTATTTCTTTAATATCCACTAATGTGTTACATCATGTTTTGTTTGTCCCCAGGTCACAAAATGCAAATTCCTGTTTTGTTTTATTTAGTTATTTATTGATTTTCTTTCAATGCTACTGATACATGGTTTCTGTTACCAAGGTTCTACTATTGGCAGCCTTTAGATTATTCCACATGCATGTTGCGCTCTATGTATTCCAAAACTTGTAATTATTTCTTCTTACCACAATTTTTGTCAGCATGTGCACCTGTAGGTATATGCATGTATTCGTTTATATCATCAATTTTAAGATATGAACACATTTCAAAAAACGTACGAAGTAAATAAGATTTTCCCTTGCAACAACGTAATCTTCACATTTTGGAAGTAAAATTGCAAACTCTGCAAGGAGAACTGAGCAGGCCAGAAAGTAAGAAGATTCAGCATGGACAGTCTAAAGGTGGGGAATCTGTGTTTTTTAATCCTCTGTGGCAGATTATGAGCAGCTTCAACTGTGTGCAGGCACAGACTCTACGTCATCACAAGAGCACAAACGAGAAGCATGGTGGAAAATTCTTAGGACTTTTGCAAGAGGACACAAGGACCACACTCTAGACTTGAATTCAAATTAAAAACACAAAATATAAAATATAGAATAATTAGTATACATTTATTCAAAAAACAACATGGTAAGGTCCACTACATCTATTTTTAGTTTTAAAAGTTTTCATGGCGATTATTTGATTTTAATTCAAAATAAATGTAATGAGAACCAACTCTAAAGTGGGTTTAGTGGAGCCTGACTATGCCCTGTTAGTCTCATTATGAACTCAGATGAATTTTCTTTTCTTTCCTTTTCTTTTCTTTTTTCTTTCCTTTTCTTTTCTTTTTTCTTTCTTTATTTTTTCCCATGGTTTTCTAAATAGTATTTTTAGACCTCGGTATTAGCCCCCACTGACTCTTCCACTTCATTACAATCCTTAAGCGAATCGCTATGTGCCACGTGTTGCAATCCGATTGGATAGTGAGATTTCTCCTGATCTGGTGACAGGGTCAACCAAGTTACCCATGGAGGGTAAGAACAACATTTTACTTGAGGTAAGTGAAAAGTTACCGCAGTGGGTACTTTTAACCCACATTAACAAGACCCCTCGTACACAACGAAGGTAGACAATTATGCTTCTAAAAATAGTGGAGTAAAAAAGGAAGAAAGGAAAAAGAAAAAAGAAAAAAACTACTTTTTGTTTAACTTATCTTAAGTTATCTCATTTTGCTTCATTAAGAAGATAATAAATTCGAGATATATTTGGAGGTGTAAATCAAATATGATATCAAACCTTGTGTTCAAGTGAAACATTGTTTAATATGATTGTTTTTACCATGTTAGATTGATTTGGAAATTACATCAAATTTTATGAATTGCTTTTACATAATGCTTATGTTCTGGTAATATCAAAGGATTTGTGCATAAATTTTCATTTATTAAAATATATTTTTATAAATTATAAACTCATAGTAATCCTTCTACATTATTACATCTAGAGCATACTAAATTGTATAATTAATAATAAATGAAATGAATGAAAATCATATAGTTACTCTCATTCTGCATAGGAATAGCATTGCCCAATTACTCTTTAAAAAAAAACAATTAATCACGAAGTTTAGTAACCACAACATATAGTGATATGTCCAATTAGATATCTATTATACAACTAAAAAAGTGCATTCGATCATGATTTTGAATGCATTGAGATCAAAAAAGTTTTAACAGTATAAAAATATCACTCTATCAGTTTTCCTTTAGGTTTTAAAACCATGAACTTGTAGAATCTTCGAAAATGTCAGTAATAATAATCATTATAATTTTGTATTACTATGTCTAAAATATTTTCAATGAAATTGTGTAAAGCATTTTCAGCAAACTCAGTGACATGTATGCATGTTCATTTCAGTTTCAATTTCATTTTATTTATTTATTTTTTCATTTGAAGTCATAATATCTTTATCAATTCACAGTGTTACTTCTGCAATAAATGTAGTGAAAGTCTTCAAAAAATCCTACCATATATTTTAAAAAATTATATCTTTCATCTTATTAAACTTCATTCAATACTTTAAACATATGTTTTACCACTTAACATATACATACATGGAGGAATAGTTAGATTCAAAGCCTCAAGTCAGGCCCATTTCTAGAAGAAGAATTATGCAGAAGAAGAAAGAAAGAGGAGGGTCCATTATTATTGTTTGGGGGGGGGAGGGGGGGACCCTTTAATTGAAGAACATGTTCCAAGTCAGAACAGTGTTGACCTTTCGAAATGTCTCTATCCTGGACCAGGCCATCCATAGCCCATTTTGGTGCTTATGGGTTTTGTGAATTTCAAACCAATTGAACATTTTGAGAATCTTTTTTTATGTTACAAAGGCCACTTTCTTTCCAAAATTCCTGTAACAATCTTCACATTTGCTCTTGAATGGTTGCTATTAGTATACATGACATAGCTTTATTTTTAACAAGTACATGTTGGTGTGTTTTTGTTTTGAATAATACAGTTACTTTTCTTAAAAACTTGCATGTTTTTTTCCTAATGAAACAATAACTGTTGATACCACCATTGATACCACCATTTCATACTAGATGTTTTTAAAGTCGTCTTTAACAGTTACCTAAAAGTAGTTATTATTTTTACAACAGAAGTAAGTGTACAAAATATTCTACCATTTTAACATTTGGTATACCCTGAAAATATTTTATTTTGTAAGAGTTGTATTTTGAATTTGAATCAATAATCATCAAAATTGAAGTAAAATATTAGTTTTGAATCATGTTTAATAATATGTATATTAAAGGTTCAAAAAATTAAACATTGCTATTCTTAAACATTATTTTCAACAAACTTTTAGCTTAATATCAACTTGGGTGAACATTTTAGGCTGTTGCAATTTATAACTCTGTATATTAACGTAGCTATTAACATATATATATATATATATATATATATATTTATTTAATTGTGGATTTTGGTATCCTCACATTAAAATAAATTTTATATATTTGACATGGCAAGCATTATGGGACACTGCCACATTGCAACCTTAAGGGAACTTGGAGCAATTTTTACAAGAACTTCAAGATGCCAAAAGGGCTTGTGGTACTAAAAAGAATATCACATAGTTATATATATGTATATGTGTGTGTGTGTGTGTGTATGTATGTATGTATGGGTTAAATTTTTTTGGAACATTCAAATATATATATATATATATATATATATATATATCTAAAGAAAGAAAAACACCAGCAGGGTTTATTTTGGCTTTTTTTTTTTTTTTTTTTTTTTTTTTCAAGAAATTCTTTTACCAGTTCATCTCAGACTAAATATTTGAACATATTGATTTGTAGACCAAAAACTAAATAAAATGAAAAAAAAAAAGAGTCTAGAGGTAAATAAACATTAAAAGCTACTGTTAAAACAATTTGTTATTTGTGAAAAAATTAACCTTGAAAGAAACAAAAATAGAGAAAAAAATAGATTTCCTATAAATAGAAAATTCAAAGAAGTCTCAAATTTGGTGTGTTCAAAACATTTGATAACACAATTGGAAGTTGTGTTGGAGATTATTTAACAATTTATCTTTTAGAATATATGAAGAAAAATTATAACCACATTTGTAGAGATGTACAAATGCATTAGATTGTTAATTCAGAATTAGATACTACAATATTATGCAAAAGTAAAAACATTGGCTTATAATCTCCCTTTACAAAATAAAGACTCATGCTTACTGTATAACTGTTCATTTTTTTTGTTTGTTTATGCCTAAAATAAATTTACAAAAACATCAGCATAACTTCTTAAACTTGGTCAACCTGTGCAACTCTAGTCAACATATTTCTTGACCACCAGTGGTTGTGTACAATGCCCGCACATTCAATGTATGGTAATGATATGTTTTTATTACAAATACCACACAACTTTTCAAACTCCAAATAGATCTGACCCTATTGAGTTGAGAAGCCACAAGCTTTAATCCACAAACTTGTGTGTTCAATTTCATTAACAAATATGATGGAACAGTAGAATTTAATCTCACACCTTTGATGAAACCATAATGCAAGGTGCCAGTTATTACATTCTAAAAAGACAGTCTGACCTGATCCCAAATTTGCACACATCTACACCAATGTGTTTTCAGAGCTGTATGTGACTACCTAGGCTGCCAATAGTTCAACCATATTTTTGCAGCGAGCTTGCAGAGCATACACTGCTGCAGAAAACTGCCCAAATCAGGAACTGTTACCACACATGGCAAGAAGCAACAGGGAAGCTTTGAAGTTCCATCATCATGTCATGGCACTAGAGTGAAAAACCAGACTCAAGGAGACAATGATCCAGTACAGTTTCTAAGAATGATCCAGTGATGCATGCACCCAGTTTGGACATAAGCAACCTCTGTCAAGTGCAGACACTCTCTCACGTAGTCCCTGGAGGCCAAAAGGGACAGTAGGGCACAAGTACAATCCCCAAAGACCAAGGACAAGGGGAGGGGTTGCTGCTCAGCCTTGTGGTGGGCAGAGAATGCCTGAAACAGCAAACATACCCTATGACCTCAGCAATACACATCACTCCAATATTTATGGAAGGAAGTATCTAAATATGGTTGTTTAGCCTCAGCTAATCCAAATTCCACATACATGATTGGGATTTTGTTGTAATTAATCCATATTATCACTCCCTTACTACTAACATTCTATGCAATTTATTTTCTGTAACACAGTTTAAAATTAGAAGCTTGAAGCTGGTGTCTCAGGTCATGCAATACTACTTAGAGCAAAGACACACAGAGCACTCAAATAGTGGTTCACCAAAAGTAATAAAAGAACAAGAAATAATACTAAAAACCCCCGAAATAGCAACCTCGTACGAAGAGCAAGGGGTCATGTCAAATGGCTAATGGGGCCGTGACTGCGCAGAAGCAAAGACTGAATCCCCGACCTGGCATTAACTTCCTTCTGCCGTGAACTCGTGGCCCAGTGGTACAGTGCCCGATCTGCACCTCTCAAGGTGGTGGTGCGTCAAGGGAGAGAGGGCCCCATGCCCGCTTTTGTCTTGCAAGGGCACCCCCGGAAGCTAACTCAATCGCAGCGCCCGGAGCTCGCAACTGGGGCGGGTCGAAATGAGAGTGCGAGCTCGCCTGTAGCGTTTGTTGGCCAGCGTTGCATCTTCTTGGGTGCTCCACAGCAAGTTCGAGTTCGCGGGAGCCGGGTTACACGGTTCGGAATCCTGCAAAGCTTGCTTTTTGTTGGCGATGACATCGTTCCGTATTCTATTTCGTGTCTTGTGAACAAGGGTGGTTTGTGGACGTACGCGGATGCGTGTGCGAGGCGAAGCACGGTAATGCTGATGTGGGTGGATTCGCGTACTCAAATTTCGCGAGGAACGGTTGAGCTGGACTAAGAGGAAACGGGACCCCGGAGGGGAGATGGTTGTTCCGGGGGATTTTGTGAGTTGGTGCGAGAAGTGACGAGGGGAGCTGGACGCGACTGATTCGCAGGCCCCACCATGAGGTTTGATCGAAGAGGAGAGAGGGCGACCTACTTTGGGAGTGCGTAAGCAGCTTGGACGCGGGCGGAGGGTGGATGTCGGTGGGGCTCGAAGGGACAGCGCCTGAGGGTGCGTGGTTTGTGCGCTGTTGTAGGGACCTTACAGGGGTGCAAATGGTGGACACAGAGTTGGCGGACCATGGTGGGGAGGCGTAGCATGGGGCTGTAGCGGCAACGATGGTAGCGCTGGGCATGCGGTTGACATTGGTGAGAGGGAGGGGGTGATGTCGATGTCGGTGTGTGGCCACACACGGCTAAACGGAACGCAGGGTTCCGGTGTTGCGAGTTGCGCGAGAAGTGGTGCGCAAGCATTTCTGGGGTGGCGTGGATTGGATGTGGCGAGCATTGGCAAGTGATATCGGGCCTGTGCACTGAGAGATTATGGAGCTATAAGTGCATCGGTGGATCCGTGGTCGTCCGTGTGGACCGCTTCGGGTGACGCTAGCGAAACAAACACAAATGAAACTCACAGTAATTGCAACGCCGGAGCCAATCCTGGGAAATGGGAGGTGTGCGTGTTCAAGGGAGGGTTAATCCACCAAGAATAGCGTTGGCGCTGCCATAGAGTGCAAGTGCGCGGTTTTCTGGACGAGTCTAGTTACGCTAAAAAGCCCCGTGCAATTCGTGTCGCGCTTTAGGTGCACCTGTGGCGAAGCATTAACGGTAGGCTGCCGGATCAGGGCGCCCTTGGGCGCCCTGCCCGGTGGCTGCAGTCCATAAGCAGATGTGCGGTAGAAGGCGGAATGAAAGTGGGCACATGCGGGCGAATGTGGGTGGGCTGTGATTCCAGCTAGCGGGCGTGGGACTGATGTAGCGAGCTCGAAGATACCAGCCTTGCCGTAGATGGCTGGTGCTCACGCACACACAGTTTCGGCGCCTTCTCTTGTCCGGTCCGGCAATGTGCTGCTGGGCAATCATGGTGGGAGCGGGCTGTCGCAGCCGATCCTATCATCGCTTGCAGCGAGGCGGTCTCAATTCGGAGGCGTGAATATGCTGGCAGGGTACCCGAGTAATGGGCTACTCAACGGGGTTTCGAATGCCGGGCTCACAGGTTGGTGGCGGAAGATTGGCTTGGCGGGGAACGCGTGTGTGTGGGTTTGGGTGCGGGATGGTGTGATTTTGGTGTGGTTGTTGTTGCGGTGCTGAAGGGTGGAGTGAAAGGGGGTGGAAGTAGCGTAGGTGCAGGTGCGCGGAGTTGGGATTGAGAGCGGATGGTGTGGTGGGCGTGTTGCAGGTATTGCTCAGAGCTTGGGCGGGAGCGTGGGTGTGAGCTCTTTGGTGACGGGGTCGAACTCGGAGTTGCTGGATCTGCAGAGAGGCAGCCTTGGGGCGTCGGAGGGGATGGCAGTGTCTGGGTTAGGCGGGATGGGGTTGCCTGCATCACCGGCGTCGATCACGTCGACGATCGGGAATTCGATGGCGAATCAGCAAGGGAGCTCGGGGCTGGCGCGAATGGAGCAGCAGGTAAGGTGGTGGCGAGGGAGAGTGGGGCGAGTTGGGGGGTGGTAGTATGCGGGGCGTGGATTGGATAGGGAGACGGGCACGCGGGCAGAGGCGAGAGCAATGGGGTGGTGTGTAAGGAGCAGGTGAGTCGGGGTTTGAAGTGTGGTGGATGGAGAGGGGCGATGGAGTGGGGAGTGGTGTGCGCATGGGGGGCGGTGTTGTGGAGGATGGTGATGGAAGATTGAGAATGGTGTGGTGGGCGGAAGCGGGAGGTGGGGATGGCGAGGTGGATGTAAGGATATGGATAGAGGGTGGGGTGTGGGGGATGGGATGGCGTTTGGGGGAATGGTGGGGGTGTGGGATGGTGGTGAGAGTGGGATTCTATTGCATTTAACAAGTGTGGTGTGACGGTGGTGGGCGTTGGGCGATGTGTGCAGGAATGTTGGTGCATCAGCAGCAGGCGCGTTCAGGTACACCTCCGCTAGCAGCGACAACTGCGCTTTCGCAGCTGTCGCAGTCGATGCAGTCAATGCAGCAAGAGAGAGGAGTGCAAGGGTCTCAGCACGGAGGTGGCGGGCAGCAGAGCGGTGGGTTTCCGGGTCAAGTGGGTGGGAGTGGATCGCAGGTTGTGAGTGGTGGTGGCAGCCAGCAGTCGATGGTGTTAGGAGGTGGTGTGGGGCATGGGAGCAGCATGCAGGGGAAGGCGGGCGGGGTAGCGTCGCAGCAGGGGGTGTCTGGTGTGAAAGCGGATGCGCAGTACTCGGGTCATAGTTTGCAGAACCAGCAGGGGCAACAGCAATTGATGAGGCCAAAGCTGGAGGTGGAGACGGAAATGGAGCTGGATCAAAAGGTGAGGGGTGAGAATGGAAGCATTGGGGGGTCGTGTGCGATAGGATGGGAGGAGGTGGCGGGGAGTTGTGTGAGGTTGTAGGGTGCAGTCGGGGTTGTGGATAGGATGCGATGCGTGGTGTTAGAAGGGTGGCACGGGGATGTGGTGCGGAGGGATGGTGGAGACGGGGTGGGGGGTTAGAGATGGGTATGAGCGGTGCTGACGATGGGAAGTGGGGAGGAGTTGGGGCAGCAGGCAATGCAGCAATTGAGGTCCGGTAACAATGTGGGTGGCACGGCTGAGATGCAGCTGCAAGAAGCTCTGCAGAGGCAGCAGTCGAAACAGATACAGGCCCATCTGAGCGTATTGCAGCAGCAGCGAGTGCTGCAGGGGCTGTCGGAGCAGCACGTGCGCGACATGACGAGTATCCAACTGCAACAATTGCAGCAGCAACAAGTCCAGATGCAGCAGCAGCAAGCAAATCTGTTGCAGTCATCAGGTGGGCGTGCGTTCACATGGAGGCGCAGGGGGGTGGGGGTGGCGAGGATTGCGTTGAGGAATGGGGGCGTGTGGGTTAGTATTCTGACGGTCGAGTGAGGTGGTGTGGTGTGGTGTGGTGTGGTTTGTAACGGGTGCAGGGGTAAGGTGGTAGTCAATTCGTGAGCGTGGGGGAAGGGGGTCGTGGGTGAGGGAGAAGGGTGTGGGGTGTGAGGGAATGCATGTTGCGGGAGCGTGGTGTTGGGATAGGCATGGGGGAGGAGGAGTGGAATGTGTAGGAGGGGGAAGGAGTAGTTGCGTGGGATGGGCGAGGCATGGGAGCTGGGAGCGTTGACGCGTTGCATGGGTTGCGTGGTGGTGGTGGTGTTGTAATAGGAGGGTTGTGGACGTAGCGATTGGGTTGTTTGGAAGGTGGTGTGATGGTGTGCAAGGATGATAGGGGCGTTTTGGTGGATGGATGTCAGGGGCGAGGAAGCATGAAGATGTCGAGGCTGGAGTGTGCGGTCGGAGGGTTATGCAGTATCTGTATCATCAAAGGCATCGGCCTCCTGTGAGTGCGGGGTAGGAGGTTGAATGAGAGCGTGTGGGGATGGACGTGGGGTATGTAGGCGTAAGTAGGGCGACGGTGGAGGGGGTGGGCAGCGCGAGAGGGGGCGTGGTAGAGTTGAGTTGAGGTGGTTCTGAGAGAGGGAGAGGGAGGGGGTCCTGGTAGGGGGAGGGGGGAAAGTGTCTGGAGGCGGGAGCAGGGATGGAAGTGGTGAATGACGGGTGGGTGTGGGCTGAGGAGTGCAGGACAACAACATCGCGTTTTGGCGGAACTTTGTGGGGGAGTATTTTGCGGCAAATGCTCGGAAGAGGTGGTGCGTGAGCCAGTATGGGAGCGGCGGTCGTCAACCGACGGGGATTTTCCCACAGGTGGGCATTGGGAAGGCGGTAATGTGGGAGGGAGGGTTGGGAGTAGGTTGGGTGAGGATGTGAGGGATGGATGGAGGCGGCGGGGACGCATGAGTTGGGGGAGTGTGAGTAGTGCGGTGAGGGTGCTGTTGGGCGGGGGAGTTGGGAAGGGCAGTTTTGGGTGGCAAGGAAGTGGGGGTGGTTGACTGTGGTTGGTGCACTGTGGCGTTGGCAGGATGTTTGGCACTGCGAGATATGTGGAACGAATCCGGGACGAGGTTTCGGTAAGTGGCGGGGGATGTGGTGGTGGGTGACGTGGGGTGGAGGTTTTGATGCAGGGAATGTGGAGGTGGTGGTGGGGGAGATTGGGGTGGGATCTGATGGGGGCATTGCGTGGGATGGTGCAGAGACGACAGTGGAGGTGCTGCCGAGGCTGATGAAGATGAAGTTCGACA